CTGGTCATTTTGGTGAAGTATGTCAATGTTTGATGGTACAACAGCTTATGTCAAATGCTAACTTTTGCTGTGTGCTCTAGATAGCTTTCATAACAAGAAACATTATGATGTCGTTTGTGGTAATGGTTCCATGACACTGTTGTATTACTCATGACAGCATATCCATGACATTTTTATGACGTGATTATGTCAGTGTTATGCAGCAGAGTTAACAAGTTTATAAAAACACAGCACATACAAACATGAAAGCCATAGAAGAACCACTTCTGGTTCCCAAAAGAATATTTAAATGGACAGTTCTTTAAAGATCTCATATTTCTAAAGAACCTTTTGAAAGTTTAAAGAACCTCAGCGTAATGGAATGGTTCTATACCAATTAGTACGTTTTTATTTGTATAGCACTTTTTTAGACAAATGCCACAAAGTAATAAAATACACAGAAAGTAAATACAAATAAATTTAATGAAGTCATAATAAATAATAAGAGGTCTCTAAACACACATCAGAAAATAAACGCACAATAAAAAGTTACAACTATTAATTAAAAAAAAATATATAAAAGAAGAAAAAACTCAGGCCTCCTTTTCATTTTAGCTTCATTTTTGGAACAGCTACAAAACTACATAATCTAAGTGCCTTTGCACGATTTAATTATAGCTACACGTTTTTCCTAGAACCGTACATGCAAACAAGTTAGGAACCTTGATTTTTTGAAGTGTTAGACAAAATTAGATAATAAAAGTATTGAGCAAGGAAGGAAGTAATCTAATGCAATCTTATCCGATTAACAACATTTACTTCCCGGTCCAAAGTATGCGAACACCCTTCCTAATTAAAGTGTTCAGATGTTTCAGCCACACCCACTGCTAGCAGATTTGTACATTGGGAACTTCATGATGGCCGAGCAGCTGCAGACAAGCCTAAGATCACTACACAAATTGCCAAGCATTGGCTGAAGTGGTGGAAAGCATGCCAGCACTGAAGCAGTGGAAACGTTCTCTGGAGTGATGAATCAGCCTTCACTATCTGGCAGTCTGATAAATTAATCTGGGTTTGGCGGATCCCAGGAGAGCGCTATCTGCTGGAATGCTTAGAGAGAATGATAAAGTTTGGTGGAGGAGGGATAATGGTCTGGGGCTGTTTGTCAAGGTTTGGGCCCCTTAGTTCCAGTGAAGGGTAACGTTAATGCTACAGCGTTCAGAGATATTTTAGACAATTATATGCTCCCAACTTTGTGGCAGCAGGTTGGGGAGTCCTGTCTCAGCATGACTGTGTCCCTGTGCACACAGCCAGCTCCATAAAGACATGGTTTGACAAGTCTAGCATGGAGGAACTCCAAAAGCCTACACAGAGCCCTGACCTCAAACCCACTGAACTCCCGTGGGATGAACTGAAACGTTGATTGCGAGCCAGACCTTCTCGTCCAACATCAGTGTCTGACCTCACAAATGCTCTTTTGACTGAATGAGTACAAATTCCCACAGACACTCTCCAAAATCTTGTGGAAAACTTCCCCAGAGGAGTGTTATAGCCGCATGGTTGCCCATGGTTTTAGTAATGCCCATAGTTTTGGAATGGGATGTCCAGCAAACTCCAAGCTGTCCAAAATTGCTTGGAGTAAAATCTTTTAAATTTACATTAAATCCTTTACATCCTGTAAAGTTATTTTGTGTTTTATTTTATGGAGATTAGCAAGTGGCAGCTTCTAGACTGCCTTGACCAATCAGACACTGTGTAAAACTTGTTGCAGAGTGTTTTGTACATTAGAAAATCTTGACATTGTGTAATGCGCTATAATGTAAGAGTACAGAACATCTCATGGACGTCTGCTTACAGCCTTCCTCATACAGTACACACATGTCCTGCAGCTTAGCCAAAGTTTACATTGAGTTGGAGGACTAGAAAGTGAACCAGGTCATGCTCTCTGATTGGCCAGTGCTAATACTTTTGTCAGTTGATAGACAGGCAGCTCAATCTAACCTTCACAAGCGTGCGTGTAGGACGGCTGCAGTAGGGCTAGGAGGGGCAGAGGCTGTCAGCACTGCTGAGCATCAGACATAAGGCCAGTCTTACTGTCACTGAAGAAGACTAGCACTGTATATTTACCGCAGGGAGAAATACATTATGGAGCTGTGTGATGTGTGAATGTTCTTTTATCATTATTATTAACTTTCTCTTGTGAAATTACTTTCTTGTTACTTTTAGAAGTTGAAAGTTATTACAGTCATTTTTTTGCTATGCTATTTAAATGTGATTATACTTCATTAGTTACATAGTTCATTACCTTTACGTTCAAATTACATTCTGTATCAACAGGATTTGAGGAATTGACTGCACTTATTACCTTTTTCCAAAACTACCATTCAGTACAAGTTACTCATTAGACATAAGATAATCCACTTGCATAAGTTAAAGGAAAGTTAAAGGAAATTAAGTGAAAAAACAGGAGTTTCTAAAACTGGAGTAGAAAAAAACAAAAAGATACAGAGAAAACCGTGCAAGACCTGGGAGACCACCAGAACTGTCAGATAAACAGCACTTAAAGCTTTCATCTTTGAGAGAGAGGAGAAAATCAAGCTCCACTCTTGCCTCAGATCTAAGAAATCCACATTTGAGAAGATAACTCAGTACTACTGGTCTGAAAGGATGTGTAACTGTCAAGAAGCACTAACTGAGAAAAGGAAACTGACAAATCAGAAAATGTAACCAACTTCTAAGACTGAACTTAGATGTGGGAAAATTTCCCTGCAGATTTTTTTTCTTGATGTTTGATTTTATGTTTAGTTGTTCAGGCCTCTGCGCTGTGTGCTTTTGTGTTAAATGTGTTTTCTGGTCTCTTTGCACAGAACTGCGTCAGATCCAAATCATATTAAAATATCTTCTCCTTACAAACAGCAATTTCGTATCTATTAAAAGTTGAAAAGCTGCATGTTCAGAATTTCTCTGCTTGTTTCAAAGAGCTACAGCTGAGAAATTATATGGCCATGCTTTTATTGCTGGCAAGTTCCAAGGGTTGAAGTGAAAGAAGGATGTATTCCTTCTTTGTGACGTCTTTGTTCCTATTCTTGTTGTTTTTCTGTTATTATTCTAGTTGTGTGGGTATTACCAGAATTAACATGATGGGTGAGGTTTTAAACTCTTTGGTCATACAGGGTGGAGTTTTTACCAGACAAGTGTGAAATTTTCCAGAGCCAGTCTGTAACCGTGCCACACTTTTAGCTTCAACTATCTGCACAACTTCTCCAAGCAAACAGCCTCAATAGAGACTAACAATAAATCAGATGAGAGCTGAAAGTGATTGCTTTGGAACGGATTATTTGCTGATGTGACTTGCTTTAATGATCATACTGAGGGGAGTTTAAACAGTTTTGACTGCTAGGAGTTGAGCATGGAGGAGGAAGGCTGATGAAGCAATCGCTGAAGGTGTGCAGCAAAGCTGAGGGACAAGGGAAGAGCCAAAGCCATGAGTAATCAGGCAAGCTCGTGAGAACCGGTGGCAGAGTCATCTGTGGTCAGATCTCAGTAAATTACCACATTCCTCAATGCTTTCCCATCTGGACCCCCCCGTTCCTTACCCCCCAGGCATACTTCTGCACACACAATGGAATATTCCTGAATCCATCCATGTATGCATGGAGGAGGGGTGCACTGTTTTACACATTCATAATGCAAAGTTTGTATTGTTTTATACTTGTTTATGTAGATTATTTTAAGATGTGGGATAATTTTATCCGTGAACTGCTTGATAAAAGATAAACACCATCACAAAGAAACAGTAAAAGAATTTTATGACTTATGCAAAACTGGAGAATGTTTGAAGAAGCATGAACAGAACCTTTTCCTAAAAATGTGATATTGTCAGTCCAAGCAGGAAGATTTGCTCAAAGCCACCAAATCTAACTTCTTGGAAAGGGTCAAGCCGAGGGCAACGCTTCTCCAGTAATAGAGAGGTTAAGGGTACCCCGAAGCCCCTCTTGTTAACACTGACCCGTGTGACCTGTCCCCAAGTCAGCACTGCTTATGACTTACTCACGCTGCCCAGCACTGAGCCAGACAAGCATATATGACTCAGTGTAGTCATATACACGCCTGTCATCACCAGAACTACCATCCAGAGCTGAGTGATAACGCTAATTCTATATGACACATCCATCCAGGATAGACGTTAGACCAGAACTTTTGTGATTGCGTAGTTCATGCATATTTTTACTGTTGTTCATGAGCTCAGAACCAACTGCTGCTGTCAGACTAGATGAAGTTCATTCTTTTACAAAAAAAAAAACAAACAATAAAAATTGAAATACATTGATACAGTACTGCAAAAGCCAGAGGCCACCATTTGTGTATTTTTTCAGTCAAAACGGCCAGTTACTTTTTTCAGCATCAGAAAAAACATATATATGCAACAGACAATTACCTCAACAATTAAATAGAACATTGTTCAGTGTTTAGTCTATTCATTCTTTAACTTTATTACACTTCCATTCTCTTCAGCAGACTTGGTTTCAGTTTTTCGAAGAAAGCTGCAGGGATATTCTTCCACACCTCCAAAGTTTAGTCTTAGAAGTTGGTTGCATTTTCTGCTTCCCACATTCCAAGTACTCCCAAATTACAAATGTAGACACATCACTCCAGAAAACTTTTTTTCAGATCTGAAGCAGCTTGATTTTCTCCTCTCTCTCAAAGATGAAAGCTTTAAGTGCTGCTTATCTGATGGAGACAGTTTTGGTGTCTACCAGACCTTATACACTTGTTAGGAGTCCCATTTTCTCTTTATCCTTTAATTGTTTTTTTAACTCCAGTTTTGGAAACTAAATTTTTTTTCCACTTTTTTTCCCTTTGACTCTCCTGTTCCTTATGCAAGTGGATTTTTGATTGATTGTTTCGTAAATTATTCCTTGTTTGAGATTTGATTGGATAGATGGACAGACAGACAGACACACCTGCGTAATGAACATCGTTTTGAAGCTCACTACTACATCTAAATTTCTCTGTTACAGGGTGCTGGTGACAGCTTCATTGGTGCACTGGCATTCTATATTGCCCACTATCCCACGATGCCCTTGGAGGAGATGGCCAGGAGAGCCAACCTCATCGCTGCTATGTCTGTGCAGACAACCGGCACTCAAACATCTTATCCATTTAAGAAGGACCTGCCAACAGAGTTATTTTGAGACCATTCACTATTTCAGCACTATAGGAGTAAACATTCACCTCAACCACAACACTGGCAGTTTTATGTCTGATATGCCAGTAATTCTTTTCCCTTCAATAAAAGCTTTGAGTAAACTGTAGTCATGAGGTTTTCAAGACTGGGCAGGTCAGGCCAGCATTTTTTGGTGCATTACAAATAACAGTTATATTACAAACTCACAATTAAGGTTTGCACAGTAAAATTTAACAAACTAGACATTCCTTTTGTTAATTTTTAAGTCGCTGCAATAAATCTTATCCTGCTTTTGGTTAAACATTAAGGGCTGGTTTCTCAGACATGGATTAATCCTAGTCTTGGACTAAACTGATGTGCCAACAGTGAATCACCATTGAAAATTCTTTTTAGTTTAGGCTTAGGCTTAATCTGGGTCAGGGAAACTGGCCCTAAGGGTTTTAGTAGTCTAGTTATGCTGTGTTGCCATCACCGTGGCACACTATATGGACTGTTTCAAGGGTCAGAGACAGGGATGGCTTTGCATCACACATCATAACTTTAAGCTTCTCTTATGACTAGTTCTTGTTTAGATGCTGTAATTGGAAGCAGGCTCTGTTAGACAGTGCATGGGTAGAATAAAGCAGCTTCCACATCATGATTACTAAGGAAGAAAGAGCTCACATGGAAACCCTGTGATATTATATTTACCTTCTTTGCCTAAACAATGCTATTTAGGGTCCTTGAGTTTGGGTGGACATGATTTGCGGTGTCCAAGTTACCTTAACAACGGAGACAACAGAGCAAGCATTTAATGCGGTTTTCAGCACTTTTGGGACTCACTTCTCAGCTTGGTCTGATCTGAGGTTTGACAAAAGTATACAAAAGGTAGTAAAATACTTTTGCAAGGGACTGCATGTGTTATTAAACAAAGTAATTAATGAAAATTATTAATAATTCTTTTTGTTAATGTTAATACAGGAACATCTTTTCATATGAATGAAGCTGAGGGCTCTTAATGGCCTCATGTTTAACTGCTTTAATGTGTTTAAATAAAAAGACATTACTTACGTCTAATACGATATACTTCTTGTATTTTAGCAAAACTTCAACAATACAAATCAAAAGTTTTTAAATATTACTGTGACGCTGGAACTTATAAGACAGACATTTTCTCAACTTAAAACTAAACGCCGACCACTGCAGGATTCTTTCTCTGTAAATAATAATCATAGATGGACAGACATCCTCTGGTTCCAGTGGGACTTCTCGTCATTCTTGATGGTATTGTGAGCCGTTTGATATGTCTGACGTTGGTCAGCTTCCTTGAGCTCTTACTCATATATCCGGTCCTTGGCAACAACCTTAAACAATGCATACAAGCTGCATGTTTAAGTACAAAAAGAGCCTGAACTTCTCCCAGTGTCCGTATCATCAGTTCAAGTCTGGTCCGTGCTCAGATAGAGCGGATCTTCTTCTTCTCAAAGAAAAGAACATGCTTATTCACTGTGGGTGGGAAAACAGAAAAAATATAAGGAGATATTGCAACATTTGCATGTGATAGCAATTACATGAAAATGACAAGTTGAGTTTTTATTTTTAAACTTTAAATACAGACATCACAAAAGAAAAAAAAAAGGCCTAAACAATGGTCAGAAATCTCTTTGGACCTGACGTGGATCACAAAAACAAAGCCAGGGCCTCATTCCTTGCAACTGGCTCATCTAAGCAGCTCTGCTGAGTTCTAATTAGCCAGAAACTGGGATGTCTCACTGAAACTGAGTTCTCTACTTGAGTCTCACATGGAATGTGTCAAGTCCCAAAGGGAAACATACGGCGCGCAAAACCAACGACTTAACATCAAAATCAAGTGGGAGTATTTTCTTTCATGTCAAACAGGCACAGAGATTCACAAAGTTAAAGTGTGTGAAACAAAACATCTCTCAACACTGTAGTGGCTGTCAAAGGTAGAAAGGAACCGTGGGGGAATGATGTACTCCATGCTATCAGACGTATTCAGGTCTCTGGCATTTGTGACATGGGAAAAGAGACTACAGGAGGCTGTTTCTAACTAAAAATGATCGATATGCATAAACAGGGCAGAGAGAAGAAAAGGAATATAACAAGAAACAGGCCAAGGGAGGAACCTTTGAAAAGCTAGAGACAACCATGATAAATTCTGGTCACCACATGCAATGATTTAATCTAATTTGTTACAACTTGAGTGTTTTTTGAGCACTCTACCTTACACGGCTATGATTCACTCCACAATGACTAGTGCTAACTACAAGAGCAATGAAAGCATGACAGTAATTCTACAGTACCAACATCCAACATTCTCTGTACTTATTTGCCAATTTTCTTGGTTTTCTCTGCTTTAGCCCACATTGGATCAGATGTTAGACACTTATAAATGGTGTATTCAGTATGCATTAAGCTTTATTTATTCATCACGGCCATATCTGGAGGTCTGTTATGTGAAGATCAGTAATAATAGCATTAGTTGCAGCACGATCGTATTTGAGTTATTGCGCATGAACCAATCAACTTAATTCAAATCTTATTAGTGTAATATTTGCAACATTTTATTCCTAACGGCTCTAGAGAACATGAAATTACTATTTTAATTAGAGGCTAAAAAGTGCAAAACCAGTTTTCACAAATTCAGAACCAATTCATGATATTTTGACTGCAAAAAATCTCTGAAATGCATTGCCTGTTAAAATAGGTTGTTAAAACAGGCTGAAACTAACTTAAATATTCTGAGCTTCATGTTCTTGGCCACCAAAAAAAACAAAACAAAAAAAAACTGAAATTATCTTTAGTTCAAAATAAGGGATGCAAATTGACTTTGAAAATTTGTTTAGCAAATTTGTTTTTTTTTTGCCTTTAATTTGCGAAGGCTAAAATGGAATAAAATGTTGCCAATTATACACTAATAGGCTGTGAATATAAATAATTAGTTAATAATTTAATGTCCTAGTGTTTATTGTTCAATATTACAACTAATAATGCAATTATTAGGTATTTTCACATAACAGACCTCCAATTGTGAGAAATACATGTTATGGGAAATACACTTAAAAAAGTCTAATTTGAGTTTTACACAACAAAGACATTGATAAACCGTCTATCAATATGTCCTTAAAATAACATGATTTAGTTTGATAACTTCAAAAAGTCTTACATGATAAAGAAGGTTCAAACTATCAGAGTATTAAAGGGATGTCTCAAAGAAATTTACAAAATTTTCTTCTTACTCCAAATGTAGTCAACAGAACTGTCACCCAAAACAAGATTTTAGATAGCATAGCCTTTCATTGCTTATTAGCTACAATTAGTCTTTTAGCTCTAGTGCAAAGAAGCAAATTTCAAGAACCTGACAAGTCTTGGCCGATTGACTACATTTGGAATAAGGGGGCAGCTGTGTAAATTACATTTTTTTTTCCAGTTATACATCTGATTTTTGATTCTAAGGTTAGGATTTGATTCAGTTTTCGATATTGTATGTGTTAAAGTATCCTGGTTCTACAGAGGCCAGATTCTATACCACACAGATTATTTTGCCAATCTAGTCACCAATCTAACTGTTTCAGTGCCTGCGATGCTGCCCTCTACCAAAGTCAAAGTTTATTTATAAAGCGCTTTTTACAACAGGCGTTGTCACAAAGCAGCTTTACACAAAAATCCGGGTCCGAGTCCCCATGAGTGTCGCCAATGCGACAGTGGCAATGAAAAACTCCCTAAGAGCAAGAGGAAGAAACCTTGAGAGGAACCAAGACTCAGAAGGGGAACCCATCCTTCCTCTGGTCGACACCGGATAGCAAACGGCATTAGTAAACCCCAAAAATCACAATCCGAACAACTGTAAACTCTGCACAAGCGAGTGTTTCCTCACTTTTTATTGTATATGATTGTAAAACTTATCTGGCTAATTTCAACAACTATTGCCAAAGTTACTGTTCAAAACCAGAAAGTCTGTTTCTGAGAAGGGGGCTCAGACTTCCACATTTAAGCAAATCACCTGGCACTGTGATTACACAACACTGTTGCATCAATGTGGTAAGTAAGTAGTAGGAATTGTGAAACTGTCCCATTTAAATGACAAGCTGCAAGAAATCCCCCCTGCAATGACCTTTCAAAACCACAGGTTTTAAGCACTTTACCAAAAGGGTCATGCTTTCGCAAGACCAGTTTGTCTCTTAGTCGTCCTCTCTTTGTGTTGAAGCAGTAACCTGTCCCTGCTGCGCTCATCATCTGAACCAGAACGGTCCTAAAAGAAAGAAAGGTCAACAGCACACAAGCACATTTAATGCAATGTCCACCTTCTTTTACCAACATGAGGCTACATGCATGCAATCTGTGCAGTATTAATATAAATATGGAGTAAATAATAAACTTACAGATGCTAAAATTACATGAAAATGTATAAGAAGAGAAAAGGAAACTGTAGAAGGATTACTTACTTTGATTTGCTCTTGGCAACTGTATAGTCCAAAAAACAAAAACAACAAAACAAGAAGCATATTAGCACTGACATTGTGTCAATGACAATGAAAAGAATAAATGATAAAAGGCAAACCGGTAGGGAGTTGGGTACCAAGTTAGTGTTTAGCTCAACAATTTTTTTTCCTTTTCTAAGAAAATATTCAATCAGAGAGAGATTTAGCACTGCTGAACCTAAACATGAGTGGTGTGTTGATAATAATACTAGTGAATAATAATATACTCATTTTGTTCTGATGAATAAATCAATTTTAAAAACCTGAACACAAAATCCCAAGAGGCCACTGCTCTAAAATAGAGTGATATTATATTTCAACATTACTGAACTACGACAAACTAATGAAAAAACCTCAAGGGTTTTACTACATGGCAGCTTTTTGAGTGCAAATGTGCAGATACAAAAAAAAAAAAAAATTCAAATCTGAATCGACGACTTTTGGTCAGTCAGCAAAGCTGTGCATCCCTGGATATTTGTATTTATGCCATTATTATGGGATATTTTGTGCAGGAATGCAATGGTGCATCACTACATCCATGTAGGTGTTTAAGCTGCTGTGTTCTTCCTTTTCCAGGTGAACAGATGAATTTCATTCCTGGACACAAAATGTCCCTGAATCCAGAAACATATTTCATGCACTGCCATTTCTTATTAGGTTTATCCAACAAAACACATAATGGGTTTTGCTGGTTATGATTATCCTCAATGTAGGGACATCTACCTACCTTAATGGGGAATTCCACCATTTAAAAAAAAATTACTAATAATTCAGTCCTTGAGATGTAAACAGTCATTCAGAGTGGTTTGATGTGCAAAGATTCACTGTAGAGAAACTTACAGACTCAGATTTGTTTACAGTGGTGGTGATAGGAATCTGGGGTCATAATGTCAACAACACAAATATAGCTACTTCATTTACTATCCAAATCCACCAGTAAACCTACAAGAGTTCTGAGGTTTATATGTAATGTTAATGGTGGTTAAATAGTGGTAAATCTGAAAAAATAGGTTTTCTTTGGGGACTACTGTGCCCTGTGTGTGCCCCTCCGCCATGATTTTTTTAAAAGGAATGGATTAAAACACATTTTCATCCAAAACTATCATAGACCACTATGTCAGACATCAGCCAGCATAATTTATATATAAACATTTCATAACAACTTTCTATGAGGGGCTTTCAGGAGCATTAAACTCTTCAGATGTCTGGTTCTTAACACCACCACTATGAACAATTATATTCTGACTCTCTGAGTTTCTCTATAACAGAGCATAGCACACACTAAAACACTCTGAATGACTTTGTTTACATCTCAACCATTTAAATAACGTTACGTAGAATTTTTGAAACCTCGGTGGGCTTCCCCTTTAAATAGCTTAGCGAGCACAGCTACCTATCTACGGAATTTCGTGAAATGTTCCTACAGAAAACAACGGACAGACACTTTGGAAATTTTAAACGTTAAGTGTGTTTTTCAGTATTAGCTAATACAAACATCACATTCAGATGAAGGAGTAGCTACATCTCTATTCACAGCCACTGCTGTTAGCAAACCTAGCTAGCTGGCTAGCATTTCTCAATTTCTCTACCGAAAGTCACCGCTAAAGCCCATTCTCGAGCTCTTCTAATAGGACACTGCATCAGAGACAGCTTTATTTCTTCTACTCACGATTGACGGCGGTGAGAAACATTTTAATCGCAACGTTTGGCGACCAGCTCAGAAAAGTCACATTGAGCTTTGCTAGTAACGTTACAGTTCCGCTTAAAAAGCCCTGCTTCATCCGGGTCACTTCTGCGCGGATCTACAAGTCATGTGCAGGATCATTTCCCGCCGGAGATGACTTACGGATCAGTGAAACAGCAGACGGATCTTGTTTTAGCTGGAGCAGAGTGGATTAAAGTATCGTTGCTTCACTGAAATCAAGACGCAAAAAGAAGTTGTCAAAAACAGTGATAGTGAAAAACAATAACGTAAAAAGGTCCCTAGCTACTACTACTAGTTCGCCGTGGAGCTTCAGTAGATACAGCATCATTACAGAAACAAAAGTTTGTTAAAATGCTATTTTGCTAATAATGATATCATTTTGATCTTAATAAAATGCCAAATCTCGAAGGTGAGAGAAAAACAGCACAACAACTGAAATGTTCAACCAACAGACCAACAACCCCGAAAAGGAGTATATGCGAATGACTTAAGTGGAACTGAGGAAAAGGCAGATCCTGACAAATACAACTCGCTTCAGAAAAAAGTACTACTCACAGAAGGGACTTCTGGGGTGTGGTATGCAAAGCTGCAATGACCCCCTCCCCCCAATAGAGACATCTATTGTTGTTTTTGTAGTATAGTGTATGTGGTGTACGTGTTGTTTGTGTTCTGTTATGTTGAGTGAGATAGTAGGGGCTTAGTGTATCTACCATAAGGAGAAAACGTATGGCTGAAAGTGACCTGCTGTGTTCCCCGGCTGTGTGTGCATGTTCCTTTTCTGCTGGTGTAAATAAAGTGCACTTCTCATCTCAGAAATGATGGGTGGTTTTGTGTAATGTGTGTTTCCTGCTACACTGATGCCACAGTGGTGTCAGAAGTGGGATAGCACCGACAAGCGGCAACGAGTGGATTCACCACACTTATCGATATGTGCTCGTCAATATCCCAGCTATGACTAGACATGTTCCCACAAACTGAGGGAGACGCATCAGACGGCTGGGTTCACCTGGGGGGAAGGAAACGGCTCTCTGTTGTCTGGGGGATTTGAGCTGGGTACACAAATTTTGGCTTGCACCCATTTGGGATGTGTGCATACTTAGCTTACATTTCCAAGCAGCGCCTTTGCCCTGCTTGACCTCAGGAAGGATACGCTGGGCTTGGTGAAGGTATAAGTGAAGCTGGTCACGACGGCTAAAGGCTGAGCCAAGGCAGAGTTTTGGCAGCGCACACATGAGGCATCCTCACCAGCATCATCAGACACTCCATGTTTCAGAAGGGGCTTTTTGGGGCGTGGTATGCAAAGTTGCCCCACGTGTTTTGACCTCCCTCTGTTAAAAGAGATGTTTGTTGTTGTTTTTGTTGTATAAGTGTTGTCAGTTGTTAGGTTAAATGTGTGAATGTGTTGATTGTCTTATTTTGTGTTGGGCTGAGGGTGAGATAGTGGGTGTTAGTGTATGTACCATAGGGAGAAGACTTATGGCTAGAAGTGACCTGCCTGCTCCCCAGCTGTGTTTATATGTGCCTTTTTCTGCTGGGTTGGAGGTTAGGGAATCAGCCTTGTGACCAGAAGGTGGTTCGATCCCCTGAGCCGACAGGACATGACTGAAGTGCCATTGAGCAAGGCACCTATCGACCAACTGCTCCCCGGGCACTGTGGATAGGGCTGCCTACTGTTCCAGGCAAGTGTGCTCACTGCCCCCTAGGGCATGTGTTTGCTAGTGTGCATGTATGTGGGTGTTTCACTGCATGGATGGGTTAAATGCGGAGGTGTAATTCCTTTGTGTGCAATTCCTTAGTTGGTCAATGGTTCAAAATTGTGAAATTCTGAATTCTGAAAAAATGCTGACACCACAGTATTAAATAAAATGGCTATATTTGCACTGTTCACATCACAACTGCTGCTTGCTATTGCCACCACCAGAAATGAGATAATGAAAGAAATTAGAGTTGAAAGTTTACTCTACAATGCACCATTTTACATTTCACATTGTTTACATTTCAACAATTGAATTCTGCAGAAATTTAGCATTTTAATTGCATTGTAATTGCATTTTAAGTACTTAAGTCCCTTCTCTAACATTCCCATGTTTACCTCATGAAGACATGGTAATGAGCTGGTAAGTTGGCTTAGGTGTGTTGGACCAGGAAAATCACTAAAACATACAGAAGCTGGTATAAGAAAGTGGACTAGATTTGCTCTGGATGAGGTTAGTACTGTCTAATGTTTTCTGCATTACAAGTCAGTTGAGGCTGTGAAAAGATTAGCATAGCTTGGTAGACGAGATAAATTCATTGCTATATTAATTATAAATCCTACTCAGCCTCAAATAGCATGAAAAAAAGTCATAGATAAAGATATCCCTTTGACTTTTATGAAACTGTGAAGTGTAAAGTGCCTTAAAGTTGGCTACACTTGAAATACAACTGAATAATCTGATCCTATGTACCTTATTTTATATAGGTGAGGAAAAAAGGGGTGCAGAATGAAATAAACCTTTGGGTTCTGGATTTTTGGAAACTTTGAATTGCATAAAAATGAACTGGGTAATACTACCACTACCACTAATAATAATAAAAATAATACTGTTTTGGGTTCATTTTGATGCCCAATGACAATAATCATTTTTACCTTTCATGAGAAATGATCATAAACATTTAAGAAAAAGTACAATATATTTAGTTCATATGTACCCATGCAGTCTACAAAAAAATGAATTAAATAATAGATATAAAAATACTGCAAATTGGACAAAAAGGGGGTTGGAGGGAGAGAGGAAGCGATACTGCAAAAACATTCGCAGTGTGTTCAGGAAATGAATTGTTGGACGTGCTACATTGCCACCAGCTGGCAGGAAGTGTGTGAAATAGCCTGCGTCACTGAAGACAGTTCTGAGGCCTAACACAGGCAGCCACAACACCCACGGACTGCACTCTCCCATTCACATTGCTAAATTAGTCCATGTTCTCCCTGTCTCTGAGGCTGGGCCGCCTTTCTTACTGCCACTGACATAAGCAGCACGTCATCAGGACCTGTGGTGATGGAAACAAATGTGCAGCAAAGGGTGAAAATGCTGATATAGGGCCAAGTTGTATCTGCTTGCAGAGCCCATTTTGTCATGTCAAATATTCCATAGTTTAAAAATAAAAAGAGAGAAACAGAAAAGGGATTTCGATATTTAATTTTGTCTTCTTAGCATCCACAGTGGGCCAGTTGTCTAGACAAGTCTGGTTCGAGATGAAAAAGAAAAAAAGAAGGAAATGAATAAAGAAAATTCCCACTGGTTGTGCAATTCATTCCTAGGCTTGGGTTCACTTATTGCTGTAAGACCAGCCTGATTAATAATGGCAGCTAAAATGTGCAACATATGAAGTATTAATGAGAAAACAAATGTGATTTTAACCTGCTGGAGAAGCTGGAATAAAGACCCAGAGGCCTAAAAGCCTGCATGTTGAGATTTGCTGCGAATGAGAATGAGTTTGTGAGCAGGCAGCCTTGGAGACTGCAGCTGCTCTGAAATCCCATTCGGCCTTTGCCTGTCGGACTGAGTGGGCCGTGATGTCATACGGATGTGCATCACGTTGCCGTGGCAACGGCAGTTCAGGGAGCCAGATGATGCTGCAGCCGCTCTCCGAGCAACAGGTCTCTAAATTAGAGCTGAGGCATGTCGAGAGATTATTTTCAGGATATTATATACACTTCTAAGGACGGACCGTGCATGATCACACTGCAGGGAGAATTGATTCTAGCAGGACTGTGGTCACTCCTCTGGTACTTGACTGCTTGAGCAGTGAGAGGAGAATGGACTTTGGTAACAGTTGAAGACTCTAGGGACTGCAGCACTGCAAAGACAATGGCATGGTCTAAAATGTGGTTAGGCCTATATCATGACTGTTGTAAAGAAAGACATTTATGTCATTGTTTATAGAAGAGCTTATTGTGTTCTTCAGTAGGCCTATTATTATTATTATTATTATCATTATAATAATATGTATGCAGAACAACAGTGTTCTTATGGAACAAGGATATTGAACTGTTAATGAGTGAGGCTTCACTTACACCTCGTGAAACAGTCATAATAATGATAGTAATCATAACAATAATACTATTTTTATTAGAGTGTCAATCATGCTAAGCAACCTTCTCCAATAAGTCGTCTCCTGCTGTGCTCGGCTCTGCCCTTCTCTCAAATTACCATTCATCTATGCATTCTTCCACGGAAGCACTGAGATGCCCGAATTACAGGCTGTACAAATTTGAGCTCATCAGTGGCAAATAAAGGAGTGACGCTGCCGCTCGCCCATCTGTCCTCCACTTTCGGAAGCCTTTCTGTTCCGTGACGCAAAAAGGAGTGGGAGCGGAGTGCCTCCTGCTTCCAGAGAGAGAGCGAGAGAGGGAGAGGGAGAGAGAGAGTGGGCCTCTGACATCTGCCATGGTGAGAGGGGAGGGGGAGAGGGAGAGGGAGCGGTACGAAAGAGCAAAAGTGAGTGAGGGAAAGAAGAGGAAGAGTCAACAGCTTTAGAGAGCGTCATAAAATGCTGGAGTTTTGTGTAAACAAAGAAGGAGAGGAAGAGAAAATAGAGGCGTTAGGAGGAGGAGGAGGACGACGAGCAGGGCTTAGCAGAGTTCAGATCATTAAAGCTGTCATTCACCCTATTATATCCTGTTTCTAATATATATATTATATTATATTATAATATATATATCTAATATATACAGTTTCTTGTTAAAACAGTCAAACAGCTAGACTCAGAGAGCTAGACAGGCCAGTCAATAAGGAGAGCCAGTCAATAAGGAAGGCCAGTTGATAAGGAAGAAAAAATTGAACTTCAAAAAATGATGAAAAGATACAGAGTAAATGGGACTCCTAAGAATGATGCAAGACCACCAAAACTGTCCCCATCAAATAAACAATACTTAAAGCTTTCATCTTTCAGAGAGAGGAGAACATCAAGCTTCACTCTTATTCAGATCTGAAAAAATCCACAAGTGTTTCTGACCATCCTTCCACTGTGAGAAGACAGCTCAGTGCTATGGGTCTGAAAGGATGTCAAGAAGCCCTTACTGAGAAGAGGAAAC